ATGCCACGGCACTCTACCCAGGGGGACAGCTTGAGGCTCTGTCTCAAAAAAAAAAAAAAAAAAGCTTTAGCTTTTTGACCACCTCTGTTGCAAATACTGCATATGTTATAAGCATGTGGTATCTATTACTGCCTTCCAACGAACATCTATTTTAACCTCTTGTTCCATGTGTATGTAAACACCTGCATCCATTATCTGACATAGTAACAGACAACACTGAACTCCTAATTTGTACAAACATAGCACTGGTCCCTATTTATAAACATCTCATTTTACTAGTACGTATGTTGGTAACTACATACTAACTACAAAAGTTAGTAACTATTTGATTATTTCGTAACTAAGAATTCACAGATAGGTGGCATTAAAAAAGCCATGGAGTACATTATGGAGGTCATGAGTTTATTATGAAGAAGCTTTGCAGGTAGAAATATTCTGAAAGCCTAGACATAGAACTTTAGATCTGGAAAGGACTTCAGAGCTGAGGCCCTAAGAGGCTGAGTGTCTTGTCCAAGGTCATCACAGTGAAGAGATCAGAAGATAAAGGTTATCACTTGGCTGCAGCTGCCTCTTATTCACAAAAAATATTAGATACATTGATTCGGACTGCTAATTTTAATATTTATCAAGCCAGTCGTAGAAATGATTTTTTAAGGCCAAATAACTATTTCAGAGTCTAAAAAATTGAACAAACAGGGCTTTCAATACTACATAAAGCTGTATGAATCCCAACCTATTATACAGGAGAATAATGGATTCTTAATTGAATCTGTGCTTCAGAGCGGAAGTATGATTTTTAAGTGGAAATTCCCACAGAGGTGGTGGTGACAAATGAGCTTTAGCAAGATGAATTATTCTAGGGGAAGGTAAGAGAACAAAACCATCCGGGAAAATGGCTTTTTCTTAAAAAGATCTCAAATAAGCCAAGTGCAGATTGCTTGTGCTCAATGAACTACTGTGTTTACCCCCATTTTTCTAGTCTTGGCATTGTCTTTTGTGACATGATCCTTACAGGCTATGGTTTGCAGTGTTTCCTGTAAGTATATATGGCACAGTGGTAATACTATTCATTTATCTAACAGATATTGGGAACCCCGGATATAATATCCAGAGTTCCCGAAGATTCCAGATCTTGCTAATCTCTGGCATTCTGCTTATGCCACACAATAATCATAAGCTTTTAGGGCTGGCAGTGAGCCTAGAAATAATTTAGTCCAATACTGCATTTCATAGATAAGAAAACTGAGGCCCAGAGAGGAAAATACCTTTCCCAAGAAGGTCACACAGAGAGTTAATGGCTCTAATCAAAAGGTTAAGCATTTTGACAGATTCATAAACTCTTGGGGTAGCTCCATCATCAGCTCTGAGGACCTCAGAGTCATTTTGTAGCTTGAAGTGCTAATTAAATCAGAAGAATTATGGACTTACTATTTATAGGCAGGAGTGAAGAAATTAACTAGGCCGTGAAACCTGGGGACACAGAAGGAGATCTTGTCTCCTGAGATTCACATATTACACTCAACCTTTATATTTTAAGATGGAGCTTGGGTAATATATAGTCTCAGTTTTCCTAACACTGGTCTTTGAGTTGTGGTTCATCTTGATGGACCACAGCTATCACAAAACTTTCTACATCAAGAAATAAATGGGTAGGGCAGTGCTTGTGGCTCAGTGAGTAGGGCTCTGGCCCCATATACTCAGAGTGCTGGGTTCAAACCCAGCCTCAGCCAAACTGCAACAAAAAATCCTGGTTGTTGTGACAGGCACCTGTAGTCCCAGCTACTTGGGAGGCTGAGGCAAAAGAATGGCCTAAGCCCAAGAGCTGGAGGTTGCTGGGAGCTGTGACGCCACAGCACTCTACCCAGGGCGACAAAATGAGACTCTGTCTCTAAAAAGAAAGAAAGAAAAACAGAATAGGAAAAGAAATAAATGGATAACTCCACTTTTAGCACATGCTGCCCTTACCCATTGGAAAGGTTAAAACAATCCTTCCAAATCTATCACTTGCTTCAAAAGGACCTATTGCTAATCATTTCCCAGTAATATCCAGTAGATATGCTTTCGCTGAATACACAAGGAGAAAGGAAGCCCGTGGAAATATTTTTTTTAAGGACACACCGTTTTGGTTAGCAATTATCTCATATTTTTCTTCTTTTTACTGTTTTTGAGTGGCTTTCATTATATTCCCCAAATCAACAACTCTCAGGAGGCCTAGAGGTGTGAACAAAAACGCTAAAATCAAAGAAACTCCAGTTTTAATCTGCTAGAGATTGGCTGTGCAGTACTTAGGAAGAGTCTTTTAACCTCTCCATCAGTCCCCACTTCCATACAATGAGGATAAAACTATAGTGGCACCTCTCCTGGGTATTGTGTGGATTGGCTAATTAAAGCTAATTAAGCCCCTGGAAAGAACCAGAAAATACTATGTAAGTGCTGAGCATTTACGTGCCACTAACAGTCAGAAAAATTCCTAAGGGAAAAGATTCTATGCAGACAGCACATTCTCTATTGGTGATTACTAATCACCCATTGTTTACAAAGACAGCACTGCCGTTTTCTGTAACAGGGTTGGTTAGGTTAGAAAAGAAAAAATAAAAATCACACCATTGTTGTTCAACAACACCATCTTTATTCAAAAATATATATCTATGAGACATTTCAGAATATACTGCTGCCACCACCGACAGCCTATACTTCTAAATAAAGTCCTAAATTAATATACAAATTTAAGCTTTAAAAATATTCTTTAAGAAAAACAAAACAAAAACGAAGCAAGACCGAAGACTTTCTGAGGAATATGACCTAAAGGAAAGGTCCTTTGGGGCCTACGGATGCCCTAAGAAGAAAAAACACAAAAATGAAAACCACCCACCCCACCCTGCCAGATCACCTTATACATACAAAGAGAAAGGTTCATTTAAATTAAACAAATGAAGTAAGCACACTTTGGGAGGATGTAGGAAGCAGAATTAAGATTTAAAAAACAGAAGCATTCACTAAAACGAAACAAAACCAACTTCCTTATAGGAAGTCCACTAGTAACAGGTGTTAAGAGGCCAACACATTCATTTACATAATTGCTACAGTTTCACCTCTTGCTCTTGCTGTAATAATTATGCACCAATTGCTGGTCAAAGATTCAGTTGGATAAAACAGAGCAGTGGGCTAAATCCATTATGTTATATTTTCATATAGCTGATCAGAGCAAATTTCCACTATACCCTTTTGGCTGGTTTGTGGCTGGTAAAATCTTGCTTCCTTGGTGAAAGCAGTGTCCAAGGTCAGTCTGTGAAGAAACACGTCCATATATGTAGGACTAAAGCAGCACACCATATGAGGGAGCAGGCATATGTGCAGAAGCAGCAAAGATTTAAAATTTATCTTGCAATTTTAGTAATGTCACCTACGGCCTCTGGAAGAAAAACCTAACAGACTAATTTAACAGTGAAAGAACAGGCAGTGTCATAAGCAAACAACACACAGTCTGTATTCAAATCTGAAACACAGCTTAAACACTACTAGGCTCTACACAGTTAAAATGAATGACTTCTCATTGTTCTCACATGACAGGCAGGAGAGCTTCTTGAAGGGAAGCCTGTTATATTTTATAAAACATAGGTTATGCTTTAACATGTTTAACATGTAAAATTACATGAGATTTTTGGTGATCCTGGAAACAGCTATTCAAATTAATGGAGATTCTGAAGCCCCCTCCACTGAATTCCTTTTTATAGCTTTTGGATTTCAGCCTCTGGGCTATAATTCCTATTATAGTATCGAGCAAATTGTTTTCTGCCCTTTCCAATGTCAAAAACAAGCCTGCCAAATTAGAATGATTTACAGTTAGCAGGCTGATCTCTTACTATAAGCAAGATAAAAATTCTCTCTAACTACATTATAAAGTCATAATGTCAGCTGGCATGATAATGGAATTAAAAGCCCCAATTAATATCCCCGACTTCCCCCTTCTTGCCTTATTTAATAAACATCTGATGCAAAGACTCCTTCAACATACGGGCAAGGACCTGTGCAGTGGCGTGACCTGACAGACGGACAAGCTCAGCGTCCTACTTGCAGAGGAGACGTTCAAGTTTAGTCACCAGACTATGGACATGTGCCCACACAATGGATTAAATGTTAGTGTGTGCCCTACTCCCAGAAAAAAGGGTAAAAGCAAGACCCATGCAGAGCCCAGACACAGCACACCTCTGTGGGGTAGCTTTATCTTGTGGGACCCACCACTGCCCTTCCTACCAACTGCTTTCGCCATGACTACAGCTTCCGCTTTTAGGAACATGCTCTGTGACAGTGGATGGGGGCCCTTGAGAAGTGCAGCATGGAAAGGCTGCATGTGGGCAATTAAAGCAAGTAACTGATTTTTAATTCATGCTTGTGATCCCTGTTATTCTATGAACTGTGCCTTTATGTCCCAGATTAACTTTGGATCTTATTGCTAGATTCTACAAAATAGACGCACCTATCCTTTGGATACACATGGCTAGTAGAAGTAATGGTAAGGGCGGATCAGAGATTTGGCAAACTCTTTATGGCAAAGCTGATCGACAGCTCTGCCTCCAACCTTCTGGGGCAGATGGCAGCTGGGAAAGTCATCTCCAGAGCGAGTCCCTCAGTGGAAGCCCATACTGAACTTGAACAAGACTTGCTCAGAAAGGAGGAGCTGCTTTCATGACAAAATGCTGTCATGGGGGCCAAGATTCTTTTGAAAGCTTCCAGAAGTATACATGATTTTCATAACTTCTTGAGTGTAAAGAATGGGCTAAGAATGGAAAACCAACTGGGGCATGAAAACAAGTAGAAGAAAAAGTCTATTCTTTGCAAATATGAATCTAAACCGGATTCCATTTGTCACTGTTCTGAACTGTGCTCAAGATGAAAGGCCGGAGAAGAGAATCAGAGTCTGTGGTTCTTTCTTGAGGCTGGGGGCAGGTGGAAGAAGGGACAGAACCAGGGACTAGAAGGTTATTCCCAACCACAACTTAGCCTCTTCTTTCTGCTGGTACAGATGGAAATCTGGGGCACGACACCCATCCTAGTCAGTTGAAAACAGGTCACCAGCAGAGGGAAGGGGGGCCAAGCCCCCTGTGACATTGGGCAGCAGTGAGAGGTCTGGCAAGCTCTGAATATGGGACTTCAGTTCCTTGCGGACCTGGGTTACTCGCGCAAGCTTCTGTTTATATTCCTAAGGAGACAAAGAGAAGACAACGCAGGTAAGTCTCTGAGTGCTGATGGCCACACTTCCCGCCGAGCGAGGCAGCTCTTCTTCGTTCCCTGCAGCCCACCCACCCATTCAGCTACATCACAAACTCTGGAGGGCTTTCCAACTGTCCAAAGGTAAAGCTTGATGGCAAAAAAGAAAAGCAGAGTATGATACTGTCAAAAACAAATCAAAAGGTATTCAACTTAGCATTTGTGAGTTGGAAGTAAAAAGAAGTAACATTTATTCAATAATTATGTTATTCAATGTAATTATTCATTCTCAAAAGTTTCAAAATGCTTTATAAAATAAAATATAGGCACTTGGGCATTACAATTAGTTTGGGGTTCTATCTAGACATGGCTAGAAAAATCACTGAAAAGCTGTAATTTCTATTTTAAAACACAGAGAAAAACCCAGATTTATCATTTTTGCAAATAATCACTACAGAAGTTCAAAATAGCCTAAGGCCACTGCCTGTAGCTGATGAGGCTTTCGAGCAGTCTTCTGGCCCCTCAGTCTCCTAAACATGCTACTCGACTGCTTCATCAAGCCATTCCTAAGAAAGTGACGCAGGGCACCCTGCCAGCTCCATCATTACTCAGAGCTCAAGGTCTTCTAAAGTCAAGTGTATTCCTGCCTAAGTGTATTTCTCACAATAACCCAACTTCTTTTGTCCACTTGGGCAATTCCCTTCGGATTCCCTTCAAGCCTGGAGGGGTCTCTTTCTTCTCCTGGCCCTGCCTCCACCACTCCCTGTGAACCTCCACTTCTGTAGGAAAATCCTTCCTCCTCATCCAGAAGACTGGCCTCTGTCCTCCCTCCCAGGGGTCTCCCTCCCCTGAGGCGTCAGGGGTATGCTCTCTCTCCATACATGTGAGCTTTCTATCTTCCTCTAGAATATCAATCCCCTGATGACAGCAATGGGGCATTTCTTTTTCTTTCCTCAGCTCTCAGATAAAGGCATTCTTGGTCTACCTTTATGGAAAACAACCCTGGGCCAGGTGAGGTTAGGCCTGTGAAGCCTGCAGCTGATGGCCCACTTGGGCTAATCTTTTTTCTTCTAGTCATTTCTGCAAGGGTAAGGAGGTCCCCAAGGCTGAGCCTTGTTGAGGAAAGCCTTTCCTGCAGAATGTAACAGAAAGCACTATGCTGAGACTCAAAGACATGGGTTTAGTGCTGGTTCTGCCTCTACCTTTTTGTGTGACCATGGATACATTCCCTCCCTTCCTTATCTGAAATTGAGGGAAGTAGACCATAAGATTTCTTCAAGTTCTGAATTCCTTGATGCCAGGCACCTATCTATGCATACTTGAGGCATAAGATTTGAGGGTAAAAGCTTAAGAATGATTGGGAAGAATGATAAGGCAGAAAATGGGTCAAATGAAGAATAGTTATTTCAAGTTGTAAAGACAAAAGTCCAAGGAAGGAGTGGGAAGAAGGAACAGGGCACAAACCCTATTACTGCAGGCAACAGTCTCCCACCTGAAAAGAGAGCTTCTCACACAGGCCATCAAATGAAGAGAAGGACAGAAAGCAAGCTCTCCTAGCATCCCACTTCTTTCCTTTGTAAACTTATTGCAACTGAAGTTAAAGACTTATGAAGTTACAGACTTATGTAAACTGTTAACAATAACTTCTCCATCTCCTGGAGGCCAGGATCAAAGTCACTGGCTTAACCTAGCAGTCCCCATGCCCTGCAACGTCCAGCAAACAGCAAACATCCAGCACAGCTGCTGGACGAATTAACAATACATGAAATGCAACCTTAGGTGTGAGCACACCACAGTAAGTGACCTTGCTGAGACCCAGACTTTGATCAACTGTCACCTTTCACATTCTTTTTTTTTTTTTTTTTTTTTTGAGACAGAGCCTCAAGCTGTCCCCCTGGGTAGAGTGCCGTGGCATCTCAGCTCATAGCAACCTCCAACTCCTGGGCTCAAGCGAGTCTCCTGCCTCCGCCTCCCAAGTAGCTGGGACCACAGGCGCCCGCCACAACGCCCGGCCATTTTTTGGTTGCAGCCATCATTGTTGTTTGGCGGGTCCGGGCTGGGGATTCGAACCCGCCACCTTAGGTGTACGTGGCTGGCGCCTTAGCCGGTTGAGCTATAGGCGCCGAGCCGCACCTTTCACATTCTTAAAATTGAAAACTATTTTTAAATCTGAGGATCTGAACCCCCTCTTCCTAATATTTTTCTTTTTTGGTTGTACATACTCCAAAGGAAATTAATATAAAGCATGAAGGCCAATTCTCTATTTCTGGACATAAAGTCATTTAATAAACTTTTCCTGAATGCTAGGTATAAAAGAGGTAAACCAGTTACAGAACAGCTACTCCCTGACCCTGCCCAAATTCTCTGATCAAAGCTGACAAATCAAAGCCACCTTTGGCAACTATGGAGCAGTTAAGTGTTGAAAGAGTCCGGTAAGAAAAGTTGAAAATCACAAAGTCTTTAGTGAGCTGAGCTGGGATCAGGATCTAAGGCTCTTTACTCTTGGATCGTCGTCAGACTAACTTGGCGAGTTCACTGAGGCTAAAAGGGAAGACAGGTGATCGGATTAGACCTTAAATTCAAGTAACTCTCTCCTAGGTAATTAAAAAGAAATCTAAGTTGTTCCTGCCTGAACAGGAGGGAGGGTGAGGTGGAATGGCACCATGCTGACATTCTACTCTAGAGATCACCAAAGACATGTACTTAAGTAAAAGGAATCGTGTTCTACATGAAAGCTCTCTCTTCAGGCCACTGGGAAGAGGATGGATCCTGGCCACCTCCCCTCATGCCACTTGGTAACTCTTCCCACAGGGGCATCTATTTTAAGAGCAAGCACATCGGCCTAGAAAATGGATGAGAGTGGGACTATCACTAAAAAGCATTAAAAAACATCAAGACTGGTAAAAACAACAACAACAACAAAATATCTATAGACCAAGATGTTTAAATTTATCAGCAAAGCTGATTGGGTGTATACTTTGACTAGCCAAATACAGGTAGTGACTGCCTAAAAGCTATTAAAACACGTACTTGCTTAATCAGTATAGTCAAATAACCGAGCTTAATGTCTCGAGGAGAGACGAGCAGGAAGAGAATTCTCAGCAAGCTCTTTTCAGTCAAACTGAGGCTGTGTTGATTTTATAGTCGCTTAAATAGATTCAGTCATACTACGCTGTTTCCTACCTCTTCTCTTATTTAAAAAAAAAAAATAGATTCAGGCTTTGTAAATAATGTCATCTATAAATGTTGCCATGGACCAATGAAAAAATCAAAAGTGAATACAAACAAAAGTAACCCCCGAAGGCAACACCAGTCTCGGGGGTGCCTCCTAGCTCTCCCGCCTTGATCATGCTCCCTGCCTTTCCAGGTTATTATTCTCTTTGCTTCTGGATAGGAAAAGGAAAAAGGTCTCAGGAAAATCCAAGAATCTTTTATCTCAACCTACCAGCCGCCTCTGGCAGAAGTATGATCCAAAAGCTCTACAGCTATTCCAAGATGTGCCCTCAGCAAGGCCTGCTCTCAGAAGAAATCCAGGCTTCTATTCACAACATCATTAAAACCAAACCTCAACGTGATGAGATCTACTCATGGGTGTTGCACCCCATAAGCTCTTGAGTACACCAGGTACTACTCAGGTAGAGAAATGATGTGCCAAGGTGGGCACGTGCTCCTCATTTCAAGTGTCTTATTCCTGCCAGGCATGGTGACTCACGCCTGTAATCCTCACACTCTAGGAGGCCGAGGAGGGAGGACTGACTGAGCTCACAGGTTCGAGACCAGCCCGAGCGAGACCTTGTCTCTAAAAATAGCTGGGTGTTATGGCAGGTACCTGTAGTCCCAGCTACTCATGAGGCTGAGGCAAGAGAATCGCTTGATTCCGAGAGTTTGAGGTTGCTGTGAGCTGTGATGCCACAGAACTCTACCAAGGGCAACAAAGTGAGACTCTGTCTCAACAAACAAACAAACACCTTGCTTTTGTGTGTAATACAGGACCAGGCCTTTAATCTACTACTCGCACTACCCTACCTGGTTCTGGGACTCGAGAGCTCAGGACCTGCACCGCTTAGGTCTGGGTCTACTCTGCCACATTGCTCTTGCCCATCAGCCCCCCTCCCTGTCAGCTGACTGATCTCGATCACTGTGCACATGGCTCTCTGCTGCACTCTCCTCTGCACACAGTGCCTTTCCTTCATGACCAGTCTTAAGCAACAGAAGACAAGGTGAACCCAAGCAGTCCTGCCGTTTTTCCTTTCCCCCTTGTGCATAATTTATACTGAGTGGTGAGGGGCTCAATCCATTCAGCCGCAAGTACCTACTGCAGCCACCCTGCCTAACCCCAGAGGGACCACAGGGATTCACCAAAGAGGGAAGAGTCGTGTCTGACCTGCAGCTGCTACCCTGTTTCAGGACCCTCCAGGAGGAAGATGGAGGGATGGCAGGCACCTGTGATTAACTGCCTGGGTTTATTTGACTGCCAAGAAATGTTTAATATGTAGAGAGTAAGGCCCAATGTGTAGTTCTGAGATAATGCCCAGGATTTATGCTCCTGGCAAAGTTTTAGAATCCTGCCTCACAGATACCCAGGCCTGCATGAGAAAATGTGTCAATGACATCCCTCTGCCTCCAGTAGATCCAGCTGACGCTGTGAACTCAGACCACCAAGAAGCACCGAGATAACTCACTGAAGGGAGCAGGGCTCACACATTCCTTGCCTTTTTTGGTTAGCCTAGTAAGCCAGACCTGACATGCTACAGATGAGCCCTGGGATAAGAGGGCTAGAAATGACAGGACTGACATTACAATGACCTTTCTACGGGAATTTCATTCTCAAAACAAACAAAATTGTAAGAGTTTCCTCTAGCAACTCATGTAAGAAATACTAATCAAAATGTAAACATTGTCAAACCTATTTTCTCTCTTGCTGGGAAGTACTTTCATAAGAAAAAATATGTTAGAAATAACACCATGGGCAGGGGCTTGACTCGATGAGAT